CCTCTTCATACTTCGACAACTCGTCGATGTATTGGTCGACGGCTTTGGAGGCGCACCAGACGCCCATCCATGTCATCGTTATGATAAACCTCTGCTTCGTGTTCGGGTCGATCACCACCTTATCGATGGGATCCGCTAACATATTGCGGATGTTTATCAGACACTTCTTGATTCTCGTCGCACACATCGACACCTTCTCGTCGGTCTGCGGACCGGCTTTCGTCGAATAGGGATTCGGTTTCTTCACGTTTTTCTTCAGATATTCGGCAAACTTTTCCAACGCTTTCACCACTTGTTGGGCGACAACACTGGGAGACGAGGGCTCACTCAAGAACTCCCACACAATTTCCTTAGGGTTTGTGCCGCACAGTTGGGCCACGTCTGACGTGTTGACGACCGCGCAATACGTGTCCTCCAGATCTTTGACCGCCTCATCGAAGAGCTCCACTTTCATCGAGCTATTGATAAGACTGGCCGACAGACCCAACACACGGGGCCGACGGTCTACGGGACAGTCGCGGTATAGATTCATGAGCTGCTTATACGCGTGTCCCGACTCCTTCTTGCCCTTCTTCTTGGCCGCCCAGTGGACCTCATCCACGATCAACAGATTGATGTTATCCCATGTGATGAACCGACGCGTCAACATATCTAACAGTATCTGTAATGTCATTACCATTACATAGTTGTCGGACAGGTGTTTGCGCCACACTTCGTGGTCATAGAAGTCCACATTCATGTCACCCGTGAAGTGCTTGACGGGACCGATGGCGCCAAAGTGGCGACGGATTTGGTTGGCCTGTTGTTGAGCCAACACTCGTGTGGGCACCAGAAAGAAGGTGCGTTTGGCCACCGATGGGTACGGGCCTCGCAGTTGGCGCGCGAATTGCGGATCTTTCATGAGTAGGATTGAGATGAATGTCTTGCCAGTGCCTGTGCCCAGACATACGATCGTATTCCTCTCTAACGCCAGTTTATACATCTCGACCTAATTAGCAATCATACGGTCAACTCATTTCACCACACTTTGGGCGCAATAACAATACCTGATACGGACGGGGAGTCATCTCCTCTGCCCCGACATCACCGCCGCCGCACACATCCGCCCCTTTACTCGTTGACGCCATTTAAGTCTCTCTCTCTCTCTCTCTCTCTCTATTAGTCAGGAAATGGGGAAATGTTTGCACAGAATATGCATTACTTTCAATGGCATTCTTAAGCATCAAGAATATAGTGTTTGGGTTTCGAGTGATTCTTTAAATTCATAGCACACTTCTCTCCAACAATAAGAGTTGAAAACACATTTAAATTGGTTTATATTTATATAACAGTAATACATACAACTCATGGTAAGAATACAGCACACCTTCGCACAAATTATTACAATTTAAAGCCTTTAAGCAAATTGTGGGTAAAATAAAGTTTTAAAAATGCATTCAATTGCCAATAATGTAAATGTT